TTCCTTGTCTAATGCAGCTTTGCTGAAAGTAATATCCGCTTTGAATACTGGATTTGTTTTCAAATCTTCATTATATGCGATTTGTAAAGCTCGATCCAATGCTTCGCTTTCATTTATCTTGCTATCCATCAGTGTTTCCATCATCCATTTTGTTCGACTACAATCTCGAAGTGTGTAATCCTTCCCTTTATCAATCTCTCCAGACACATTCTTTCGATTATCAGCTCGATCATGAATCTCACACACTCTTCTTCCAATATCTGCATTTCCTCCAAACATTGCCGTTATGATGTCCAATCTTTCCTTTCTGTCAATCATTGGGAAGTATTTCTGTTTCGTTGAATCGTGAGTGATAAAACGGAAACAATCGCGAATTGCAGAAGACAGATTGCTTCGTTTGTATGAACTTCCAGCAGGATTCTGAGTGGCAATAATGCGGAAATCTCGATGCATTACACGTTCTTCACTTCCATCCTTGCCTTCATGGAGAATCTTCTTGCCAAACAAATACGATAACACACTCTGAACCACAGAAGGAGGAGCCAGAGACATTTCATCCATCAATAGCAGTTTGCCATGAATGAATGCATCCGTGAAAGCTCCGTCCTGGAATTTGATCTTCTCTGTATCATCGTTCGTAATCACCATATCTCCCAGCAATTCCTCAGTTGTGGACGAAGGACTGAAGTTGTATCTCACAAAGGGAACGAGAGAACGTCGACAGTATTGCTCCACTGTGAATGTTTTGCCTGACGAGGTCACTCCCTCAATCACCACTGGAATGTTGTATTGAATCACATCTTCCACGATTTGATTTCGAATTTTGGTTTGATTGGTTTCTCTGATAAAGGGAGGATCTTCTTTCATTGTTTCCACATATCGATAGGCTTTCGATTCGATATACTCCCATTCGTCTCTGTCAGAACGTATTGCCTTAATCAGTCGAACATATTCCTCTGTGGAATGGAAAATGAGCACATTGGATCTGCATAATACAGTGATAACCTTATTCTCATCAAGAGGAGACAAAATGCCAATCGTAGCATTCTTCACTCCAGAAATGCAGTGGAAATAGATTGTTTCAGGAATGATATTATGAGTTTGAGCTTCATTATGATTGATAAGTGGAAGAATGAATGTTGTTTCTTCTTTCTGCAAGTGAGGTCTTCCACTGAAACTAATCGTATCTCCCATATGAACATAATCGCATCCATCAGTCAAAGCAGATTGAAGGGAGTAAAAACTCCTAGCATTAGGTTGGTCATAATTCACTTTCAAGGAATCGAAAATCTCAGAAACACATTGATTTGTTCCTTCTTCACTGACCAAAATTGATTCATCATTTCCATAACTTCGCTGATTATTCTCAACTATTTCAAAGTCGTGACTACTAAAATCACATAATTCTATGTGAAATATATATATATTACTATTTACCTAGAGATACTTTATTCGTTTTTTTCAAAGGTGTTCTTGTTGAATTGTTCTTTCTCTTTAATTCGACATGATGACATATGTGAAATCTGATTTTTCTGTTATAATAATGTTGTAATCCTTTTAAATAATTATCACTACTTATTTTAGTTAGAATTGCTTGATTTTCTGGTTTATCTATGCTTTATCATCAATATCCTTTATTACTTAGTTCCAATCGAAACTCCTTAATACAAGCCACTGAGTTCCTAAAGATATAAGTCGTAATTTCATAAAATTCTTTGGCAGGCATGTTTTGAACTATAGAATATTGGCTAGTACTATGGAAATACATGGAAAACGAACGCTGACAAATGTGATATTTGATTTTTCAATGTTGTATGTCATCTCAATTTCCACGTTATTCACAGTATCTATTATTTGTCAGTAATAATGGTCAATACCTGATATACCCATAACTTCAATGGAACCGCACTTTTCTTCGGAAAAAAAAGACTTGATTTGTTGTACATTCATTATTGGCATTTTCCCTTTGTGGTATTATATAATAAAAAAAACTTACATGTTCCATGAAACAATATTGGAGAGGTAATCCTAGTAGCAAAAAGTTCGGGTGATAATGGTTGTAAAGATCCCATAGATACAAATTCCAAAGAATTTATTAGCATCATCCTAATCTACATTTTTAGAATAACACTATATACAATACCGGAAATACGAATGCATAATCTGTTTTCTCAGTTGACTTTGCTAATTCTAATGGAGTTGTTAATTTTCCTTTAGAATTTAATACTTTCCACATATAACGATCACTAGACGGTAAATTATTCTACAAATAACAATTTGATAAAAATGAAACATCAATAAAAGTAGCTATTATATGCGCTCTGGATTCTACAGTACCATCCCTTATTTTACATTTAAATTGATGTTTACATTTGAATGAACAGTAAATTACTTTAAGCCATTTTTCACAAGACTTTGTGGTAACGTGTATGTCACATGAATGACTCAAGTGTGGAACTGATTGAAGGCCACCTATGCCATGTTTTTTTTCTTCTGAACAGTCACTAGTTTCTTTAATGATATTGCTTGTATCAGAACATGTACCACACATGTTCTTTGCCATACCATTCTGAGAAACCATTTGTGGATTAATGGTTACCTTTCGATTTGCATATTCTTTATCCTCATTTCTTTTGCTCGTTAAGTCATCTATATTATTACCACGAATAAGTGAATTAATAGGAATCGATGATTGCTTATCTGAGTCGTTGTGTGATGAGTAATAATGTTCTGATGATTCTATTGCACTGTATTTTGATTTCTCTCTTACTATATGTTAGGGATGTTACAAATACCATACTTTCAATCTTCATCGTGTTACCAATTCCAAGTGATGAAACTGGAGTAAACACATTGAGCTGATCTTTGGTATTTACATTCACAACACATATAGTGCTCAAAGTCTTGCGTACCAATCTTTGACCATAAGTGTCCTACATACAATTAAAAATGTCGATAACAATTACCTTCCAATACAATGATAAGTAATCATATACTGTTTTCCCTGGATACCATTTATACTTTGTTTTCTTTTCTCTAATGTGATCAAAAATAATGAGTGATTTTTCTTCTGTCTTAGCATTATGTACTACTAATTACTTTCCCTCTTTATTCCTACCATAGAGTTTGCTTCTGTTTTTCACTCCCTGCGAAACTAATGTTTTATTTAGCTCCAGGATATCTCCTGTTTCTGTACATAGTTGAACCTCATTAATATTATGGTCTAAATACTGAATGATTTCAAATGTTTTAGTATCTATCAAAAATTCAAGGTTTGTGGTGACAGATAAAGTGTTTTTTGTTTTATCTGTAATGGATACTCCTATTATTACATCTTCGGAGCGTAGATGTACTACAGTAATATACAAACATATAAATACGTGTAACATCTGTCGATTTATATATATTGTTCCTCAATACAATAGAACTTCCTTTTCTAGTTAAAAAATACTCATCTGCACAATCTGCAGAAACGCAGTGCAGAACATTCGCAATAGATATAGGTGATCCGAAACTTATGTCTTTTTCTAATTCGTCAAAAACATTGTAAACACGAATATGATAGTTGGATACTTTTTTACAATCTATCTCCTTCTCTATTATGCTGTATTCTTGAATAGTTTTCGATTCCTCTAATGCCAATCCGTTATAGAATAAGGAATAATGTGCGCACTCCGTCAGTGAGGGAGCATGACCAAGAATATTCATTACTACATCTTTTTTGAGTTCCTCAATATGACTATCCTCATTTCCATTAATGTAATATTTCTTATCATTATAACTGACAATTACATATGAAGACATTGCTGGCGATTCTTCTTCATCAGACATCATGTCGGAATCTATGTATTGTTTCATACTATCAATATCTACTACTCAGAGCAGGAATATGTTCATTTCTTCGGATTCTATGTTCTACAGAATATGTAATGAATATTAATACATACTGATACTGCTTGCTCTCACAATTTCAATAATATCATTTATCCCGTCGAATGGAATAAAGTTCTCAAAAGGTATTTTTTGGCCATCAATACTCAAAATATATTTTTTGTGATCCTTTTTTGGTATTCCATACTCACTGAATAATGATTTGGCCAAAAGTAGAAATTTTCTGTTAGATGGGAAAGTCACTTCTTTTGTCTTTTTCCCCATTTTTGTATGAAATATACACTTCTGACTCAAATGAATGAAATTGTTTTTAATACGCTCAAAAGATATTGGGCGAGTAATATCCAACTGGTTATTCCCACCCCAAAATTCTAGATGGTCAAAAGCGATCCCAAAATCATTCTATGTGTTGAAGCATGATTCCAAACTTACAGTTATGTCATCTTTCAAATCAAGCAGAGTTGTGTTATCGTTAATACCATACAAACTGTATTGTATTCCGTTCGATATTTTAATCTCCATAATTAAATTTTGAAAAAAGAGGTATCACATGACTCACATGATAATCCTTTGAATATGTACCATTTTTCATATATCATATGCTAAAGTATATTAGTAGTAGTAAATAGTCAATACCCCTGAATAACTGGAAACAACATAAGGAGAATACTGCAATAACTATTGTTTTTCATTTTTACAGCAACCAGGAAGAATAATTATTATGCTATATTCACATGATACTTCAAAAATATCATTTCTATTCTAGATGTCGAAATAGTCTACAAAGCATCTTCTACACATTGTCTATGAACTAATTCTTTGAATAAAAGGGTATTCTTATTTCTGGGAACGATCTATTTCTATTATGTAAGATGAAAATGTGCGTGTTTCCATTGCTGATTAACACATGACTCATATATTACAAAAGATCAATAATTCAATTCAAATATCAGGTGAATAAAGAGTATTTATTATCAAGTGTAAAATAACAAAATAATGAATCCACAAATACAACTCGCTGAAAGGTCGCACTGGGCATATAATTATCAATAAGCAACTAACCACTCGCAACATCATCAAACACCTAAGTTATACTGTACATTTTTCAACTATTCCGTGGCTTCCACCACTCCTTGTTCACTGATTCCAAATGAAGCTTCTCCTTCAGGTAAACAGGGAGAATCCACCACTTTACAAATTCGGGTTGTTCCACGCCCTTTCTTCAATCGCAATCTACACATCATTTCAAACTCACTCCTTTCTTTACCTCGTTGTACTCGCATGAGCCATTATGTTTCCTCCGATCGGCTTCAATGGATCCTTCGCGAACACTCCAGTATCCGGATTCGCCACCACTTGATTTGTTACTACCACCGCTACTCCAAATTCATCTGCCAGTTTTTGTAAACCACGAAGAAATTGAGCCAAGTTTTGTTGACGTGTTGATAATTCGCCTCTGCCTGTATAATCCGTACGAAACAAGGCTGTTGCTGAATCCACTATCACCAAAGCAAATCGACTCTCCGACATCAGTGCTCCCGCTTGCATCAATAATTGCATTTGATGCTCACTGTTGTATGCTCGGGCATAAGCCACATTATCCATCACATCGTTTGGATCTAGACCAAAACGTTGACTGATTTGGGCAAGTCGTTCCGGTCGGAATGTGCCTTCTGTATCGATATAGAGCGCCTTTCCTTCGCCTCCGCCTTGTTCCACAGGAAGTTGACAGATTACACAAAGTGTGTGACAGAGCTGCGTTTTGCCTGTTCGAAACTCTCCATACAGTTCGGTCAACGAACCTGTTTCCATTCCTCCGCCAAGAATTGCATCCAATTCTTTACAACCTGTAGAAATGTGAATTATGTCTTCTCGCACTTTACTATATTCTGTCGCCTAAATCGATTAGTATATTCGAATTAATATATACATACAGATGTAAAACCCATAGGAACCAACTTGGTAGCAGCTTGTTGAATCTTGATAGCTTTTGCTTCACTAATTCCCTTCACTTCTATTAATTTCTTCATCGTGGTCATTGCTACCTAGATTCAAACCATTTCCAATCCCTCACTGATTCAACTGTGTAATATCCTCCTTCCTGAAGCTTCTTTATATCACTAGCATTGATTCCTGCTCCTTCTAGTTTATCTAGAGGTAACGGTCCGTTTGTCTAGATTTTGGTGGCAAAACCACAACTCGTACTCGGTCCTCAATAGACATATCCTGCATTTGTTCTTGCATTTTCTATTCGATTGCTTTGTACAATATATAAGAATGAAAAGTATTTGTGTAGAAAAAAGCTTGTAAGTAATGCGGATTTGATGCACAGTATTACCAATCAAATGAAAATGAAGGGATTTGAAAGCAGAAGAGTATATTTGAATATAGAATGATGGTGGATGATAGAGATGGTGCTAGAGGTATGGAAATGAAGAGAATCTAAAATGGGCGGGAAGTACATATGTTCCAAATGTTGTATTTGAATACTTGAAGTGATATAGAACAGAATACTGGAAATAGGATTGGAAATGGAGTTAGTTTGGAGTTAGAAGATTATTGAATAGTACTATTTATAAATTCACTTTGTCATACATCCATTGAACCGAAATGAATGAATAAAGAATCAAAGATTGTGTGTATGAGTGTGTTTGTGAGAGGGTACACTTTGTGTGTGACAGGCACAGTGATAGCCGCAATGATTTCGATATTATTGTCTGCGGAAGGTTACCTGCGTTCGTATGTCTTGAAAGTAGTAATTTGATTCTAGAATATTATCTACGCCACTAATAAAGAAGACTATTGTGATGGGTAGAGGCTATTAAGTTGGTCTAAGTGAAGATGGTCCAATTGATATAGAAAGTGATTATTCTCTGTGTACTTATGATTTTCGTGAGGATCGGTTGTAAATATTGGTGTAAAATGCGTTTATGATAAGAAAGTGGGAAGTAGAGAACCGTCGATTGTTTTTGTTTGGTAAATATATGGAGTAATGCAATTTGTAACAATAATAATAATAATAGATGGAGTCCTCGCGGTTTACCTAGTTCGTTAACATCGTAATAATAGGAATTACTGATGATATTTAGTGAGGAGTTTAGCAATATAAACGAAATGGATAGTGGGAAGGGATTTAGTGTGTTGTATCTGCGCAATGTGTGTTACGACAGTGAATCATCTCGAATTGTCCTATTTGGTAATGAGGTGGACAAGTCTTTGCTGTTTGGGATGATGAAGAGTGAATATGTGTATTATAATACTGATAATAGAGCTTCCTCGAGATGATTTTTTCGCTGTTGTGGACGGCGTTTACCCCAAAGCCGCCGAATGGAAAGAAATCAGCTCGATCGGCGGCTACATGTTCCTAACGGACGACGCGATGGATCTCATATCGCAGTTTGCCTCGCTGAATTTCCTCGCCCACTTCGCCCTCCACAGCACTCGCTACCCTGCCGTACCGCTTCCTTTCTCCCTCCATCGCAGCTTCTCCACGCCCTTCTTCCCTTTCTGAGCGAAGCCAAAGACTCGGACACCTACGAATATCTCTCCATTCTGCAGTCCTTCTACCCCTCCACGCACGCCTTCGATCTTTTCTACCGTTCCGACTTCCCTTCCGGTCTTTCCTGCTTCCGCGAGCTCGTTTCTCCCGCGATTTTCTCTCATTATTAGACGATCCCCATGCTAATTCGTTATGCGAACGAGGGATCGATCCATCTCGATCTCTACGAAGCCGACACGGTTCGAATCGCCGCGTATCGCTACTACCACATCTACGAGAAGTTCCCAACGCCCACGTCGGCAGTGGTTCTGCACGTGACGTATCGCAAAGACGAGCAAGGCGATGTGGGGAGCATCAGCAACATGGATGAACTGCGCCGATTGTTCCAGCGAAAAGTGGCGGTAGGGGCGAAGAGGCGCGGTGAAGCGTAGATTTGGAGGTATGAAACGATCGTGTTGGATGAGGTGAGCAAGGCGAAGAAGCTGCGCGCGTTGTTTGAAACGGATATTTTGATGGGGATCGCGAGTGACTTGCTGGTGAATATGATTTATTTGGTGCCGGGGAGCTCCGTGCTGGCGATCGATCATGCGTTGATGAGCTATTCGCATTTGAATTCGATCGCGGAGCAGTCGCAGCTGTACTTCTTGGAGGTTACCAATTTCAGCGTGCCCATTCCGCAAGTGTGCGCAGATCGGAACAGCAACGTGATGTTTCATGAGTATTCGGAGAGATGCAGACAGGAACTCGAAAAGCAGCCGGTGTATGTGCAGCCTGGAATGTTGTTGTCTTATTTGCGGATTGCGAAGACGTATACGTTGATTCATAAGTACTATGATGAAAGTGAAGGAAGTTTTGTGAAATGAAATGGTGTGTTATGTGTTTGTTGGAAGAGAAATAGAAATTGGTGAATGTGGTTTATTTAGATACAGACTTTTGAAATAGTTAAAAAAGTACGTGGAAATCTCAAACAAACGTGTGATGGAGTGAGATTAGTGACGATTTTGAGAGGATCACTGATCTTTTGTGTAGATTTCAAGTTTGAAGTTTGTGATTAGGGAAATAGAGCAATATTGCCAGGAAATGAAAATGAGTGTTTAGTCTAGGCTTTGGAAGTAAAAAGAATCATATACATTGTGAAGTTGAATATAAAATTCAATAAGTTCAGAGGATTAGCTAATTCACTGAGAGAAAACAAATCTTATGATGTAGAATAATATTTATATATCTAGTTCTAGATATAATCATTTTTGAGCATATTGGACAAAACCATCTCCATCAAATACCAAACCTCCGATTTAAAAACTGTATTGAAAAATCACATTGTACTATATTGTTAGTATCAACAAGATAATAAAATAGCCTTGTTGCAGGAACTACCAACACTACCGAAATATAATGCAGAATATTGATAGATTGAACAATTTGAAATAAGAATTAGACAAAGTGTGAAGAAAACAATGATGATTATGTTCATTTCTTCAAACTGGCCAAAAATGATGAATCCAACTATATACTATTTTTATTGTACGGCAAGAAACACACTATTACCATTGGCACTGCAGTTCTCTTTTGTAGATAATCACCTTTGAATAGTATCACCACTATTCCTATTATCATTAGTAAAAGGCATATATGCCTAATGCATTATTTGTTTTATTGTGTCTTAACATCGAGTAACAGAACAGGATCTAACAAGACATGACAAGACATGACAATAGAGTAACGGAATAACGTTTTTCATATTTTTCATACAAAAATGAGTATATTAGCAAAACCCAAAGTGAACGCCGGCAATGTTTATATTGACATAACACCTGAAGAAAAAGTTGAATCCACCAAAAGAGGACAATGTTGGGAATACAAAGTGTCTGATCAATTCCCTGTAAAATCCTTTCCGGATGAGTCTGGAGAGGTGGATGTTGAGGTTGGATATCCTCACAGAGGCTACCATATAAAAACGACTTTGAAGAATAAGAAGATGAACGGAAAATCAATTATTATGTCCAGAAATGATGTAATCGTCGCAAGACTGACGTTTGAAAATGGAGTTGCTACGGGTCCTTGTACACTCTATGATGATTCAGGCATGCTGTTTTTCCGCGGATATTTTGAGAATGGATATCGTCAAGGAAGAGGAACAGAGTATGATGAGAACGAAAACGAGATATTCAACGGCTTTTTTAGCCAAGGAAAAAGGCTGAAAATCGAAGCAGTAGCAAACAAGAAAGGCTATTGGAAGGAAGTAGATCATAACAAGAGAGTTGTCAGGGTGTTCAAGAAAGATAATAATGGCGAGTACACTGGAATCAACTACATTTATAACGATGGGAATATCAAGAGAATTAGTAAATGGAAGAATGGGAAAGAAGTGCAGCTCATAAAGCAGTTTAACGGCACAAAAATGATAGAGTACAAAAATGGCCAGAAATGCTACAGTGGGGGATTTGTGAATGATTTGGATGCTGACTATGCAAGGAATGGAGAAGGAGAGGAGTATGATAAGAATGGAAAGACTGTGGTGTTTAAGGGAAACTACAGAAATGGAGTTCGACATGGACAAGGCATGGCTTACAGCAATAATGCTGTGAAATACAAACGAAACTGGATTGCTGGTCATTCCAAACCAGCATTTGTTATTACACTCCTCATTCTATTTGCTTTTGTTATTGTTGCTTATCTGCTTGATATCTATTGTGGTCTCGCTGTAACAGCGATATTGTGGCTACTTTTGTTAATTCGCTGGAAAGCTCCAAAACTATTGGGCAAAAAGATATGCAAGAAAACAGATTTGGAATTGATGGTGGAGTACATTGGACATAGACTCCCTGTTTGTGAATGTTTTGCCAATTATATCTATATAATTACTATTTCGATGTTCACTCTATTGCTACTTTGTATTGGAATACTATTTACTATGTATTGCAATTATACGAACCCTTACATTAGTATGTTCAAGTCTACCTATATTGTCAAGCCGAATAGCAAGAATAGCCTATCAGGGTTTCAACTATCGAATAAGCCATTCCTCAAGGTAATTAATATTGGAAATGATTGTTTTGCGCGAGTAGCAATATTCCAACTTGAAAAATTAAACTCACTGAAATCCCTAACGATTGGCAGCAATTCGTTCACATTGGAGAAGAACAGTCACGGAGTTGATGATTCAACCTTCTTTAGCATTCGTAACTGCAAGGCTTTGGAATCGATTGAGATTGGAGAATACAGCTTTAGCGATTTCGGAGGAACTTTTGAACTGGCAAGTCTTTCAGCGCTGAAATCTTTCAAAATTGGCGTTCTAAACAGCGATTCATACAACTTTTATGAGATTAAGTCGCTGTCATTTACCGGTACTTGTTTCTTTTCCTGTGATTAGCAGATCTTCCGAGTTTAGAAACCATAGAGTTCGGAGACTACACTTTTGGATTGTCGCTCTCCACTACTCTTTCGGGTATGCCATCCAATATTCATTTGATAAATAGACCTCCCAAAACTCAAATCGATCAATCTGGGCTACTTCTCTCTGTTTGGTAAGTGGGGAGAAGAGAAATGCTCCTTGACAATGAAGAGTAGGGACTGAACTTAGAACATTATTTGAATGTAGATCTTCCTGAGCTTGAAACGATATCTACTGTTGGCTATTCCTTGTGGTCGCATCTTCAGGTTACACTGGAGAGTATTTGAATCCGATGGATTATGAAATAGATATTCCAAAGTGTCAAACTGTTATTTTGCCAGATGCATTAAAGTATGTTGTGGAATCATCACTCGAAGTGTTAAGTATTGGATTCCTATCCGAAATGAAAAATAGATGTGAATAAAGCGCTATCATCGATCATTGAGAATCGACAGTTAAGTAAAGACATTAATTTATGTGTACCCCTATCCAAACTTACATTCTTGTCCACTTCAGATGTTACAGTACCAGATGATCAATGTAATTCACGATTACTAAGTATCTTTGATCTAAGCGCTTATAAGTTCATTAAGTCCCTTCAGATCGGAGACACGAATATGTATTATGTTAAAACATTTATGGTACATGGATTACTTGAGCTTAGTAAAATTGTAATCGGCGTAAATTCATTTACGAAAAAAATGAACACTTATGGAGATGATGCTTCTCGATCCTTTCATATAGCAAGCTGTAAAGAACTGAAATCGATAGAGATTGGTTCATACAGCTTTTCTGATTATGCCGGTGAGTTTGAGATGAAGAATCTGCCCTCATTGCAGTCAATCACTATCGGCACTACTTACAGTACCTCATATAACTTCTTTTGGTCCTCTTTTGTTCTTCAAGGTACTTTCTTTATTTTATGAATGATCCAAAGACTTCCCTAGCCTGAAATCAGTTAGCTTAGGCCAAGATACATTCCGATTTGCGAAGGAAGTAATACTTGAAGGTGTGAGAATGAAGTCGGCCTGATTTTCTAGATCTTCCTAATTTGGAGTCAATCGATCTTGGGGATGATTCAATGTGTGGAAGTGAAGTAAATGATGTGAACATACTCATCATGAAAAGTATGGCAAACAATTTTCAAACTAATTGATACAGATCTTCCTCATTTGACGTCCATCAAAAATACTGACGGAGGTAGTCTCGATCAGCTACATAATGTGACATTGGAAAGTAGTACCATTTTTGCTTTCTGACGAATTAGACATTCCTAACCTTCAAACAGTCAATCTGCCTACTTCATTCAGTAGTGTATTTTTCCAAAGGGTCCATAGTAATCTCTGATTCAATTGTTGAAACTAGATGTTCACCATTTACTCACCGATCTATTGCCAACAGAATCACATAGTTGCAGTTATCTGCAGTCAATTTCAGATTCAAGCAGTTCAATCATTCTTCCGAATTGGTTATGCAATGAAGTTGAATACGAAGAATTTGATTTCTCACCCTTTGCAAACGTGGAATCACTTCAGATAGGAGATAACAGCTTTACTTATACTACCAAATTTGAGATTATTAATGCAAACAAGTTGGTGAGCTTAAAGGTTGGAAAGAACTCATTTACACGAGTAAAAAACGATCCAGATGTACACATTCTGTTTATTGGACGACATTTCTCTATAATAAACTGTGAACAGCTAGAATCCATTGAGATTGGTGAATACAGTTTTTATGATTATCATGATGAGTTCCGATTATCCAATCTGCCACTACTCGAAACTGTACAAATTGGAAATGTTGAAGCCGATTCTAGCAATTTCCTTTCAGCCAGCTTTGAGGTAATGAGTAGGATTAATGCTTTGTTGTTATGTTCAGATCTACCAAGCCTTAAAACTATTACTTTAGGTGGATCATCCTTCCGTATTTCTCCGAAAATTGTGATAGAGAGTAATACCACTATATAATGCTAGATGACTACTGTAGATTTATCCTCCCTTGAAACACTCAGACTCGGGTATAAAGCGCTTTATGGCAAGGATGATTCATCCTGTTCGTTAACAATGCGGAGTAACTCAAATGAAAGATTGCTGATTCTTTGTAGATTTGTATAATCTGACGACGATTAAGTCGGATGGAAATAGCTTCCGGAACCCTCGCACAGTGACATTAGAGAGTAGATCGAAATAGAAGCAGTGACATGAATTAGATATTCCAAATCTCCAAACGGTTAGCCTTCCTGATTCTTTCTTCTCTGTCGTTACAAAGAATATTACCAGTATGCCTTGCTTGCTAGTATTAAGAATAGACGTGAATTACAGACTTTCCAATCTTGTGAACTAATCATGGCTAATAGGTTTCAGAATGTTCTTTGTTGATAAAAAAACGATTTTAGAGAGCTGTAATATCATTTTCTTTTTGAGAGATTGGGTAAAATACCACATCTATGAAGAATTGGTTGTTGCAGAGAGATAGGCTGGATTGAATATACATCGATATTGTAGTTTTCCATTCCTTATAACCTGACACTCGAATACTTGCCTGAAACATAGCAATTGGTGTCCAAACTGCCATATCTCCTATTCCTCACTTTGAATAGGTCCGTAAATTCCCAAAGCACAAAAATCAGATATCTTATCCACATTCTTCTTCTTTTAGGGGTGATTAGTCAGGAGAGCATCAATATGCTATATTCCATAAAATCAAGAGATTAAAATAAGCAAAAAACAAAACAATGAGAGAAAAATAAAAAGAATATCGCATAAAACAATTCTATGGATATTTTCAGCATAACTACGATTACAAATAGTTTCAAACTGCAATTTCCAGAATAAGAAACGAAACCAATATCTAGATAGACAAGGAAATGAGAGGAATGAAAATAGAATACTATCGAATCATTCTGTATAGTCTTTGGTATTCAGTAATATTGTTTATTGCTTTTGTTTATTTTAGAAAATACTACTTGTGGCTACTGCCAATATCAGTAATTAACAATAATGTTTTCTTTTGCTTGTTTTTAAGTATCAACTCCAAAATGAATCATGATCATGACGATCTGCTACATAATAAAATCTATGAACAACAAAATGAGCATCACGTTCTGAGTGAATATATGTATATTTATGCCACTTCATTTATTCCACCCTAATATCACTATAAAAGCATTACAGTAAAGAGTAACTGCTTTCCCAAAGTGTCAGAGGTTTACATCAATGGACTCAGTAAACTTGAAAAGTTACACATTGAAAATAACTCATTCACAGCTAGAGCATTTGGATATGGAAACAATAATTCGAAAGTGTTTCAAGAATCAAACTGTGAGAGATTGCAATCGATCAGGATTGGGAAATGCAATTATACTTATTTTGCTGGTACATTTTAGTTGAAGAATCTTCCAAGTTTGGAATATTTAGTGATAGGATTTTAGGACTTGACTTCTAACAATTTTGCTTATTGTTCATTTATAATTCGAAGTACATATTCAATGAAGCTCATATAATGATTTGTAGATCTATCATATTTATAGTATATAGAACTAGGACAATATTCATTTTGCTATTCATTGACTACAATGATTGAAAGTAATGCTTGTAATAAATACGTTATTATGAATAGATCTGTTTACTCTCGAAGCCATTATTTTAGGCCAGGATTCTCTTTGTGGAACAAAAGATGATTCATCTTGTTCACACACAATGCGAAGTGGGACTGAGATGAATGATTTGATTGGATCTAGATCTTCCAAATCTGAAAACTCTCAGCAGTTTGGAAACGGGAAATAGCTTACGTTTTCCTCGCTCAGTTACACTGGAAGGTATCGAATCACAGCATGCTATGAATGGTTAGACATCCCGAATCTTCAAAATGTGAGCCTTCCCAAGTCATTTCAATATGTTCTAACAATAGAAATCAAAAGTATTCCATTTTGTTTCATCATTTGAATATAGACGTTTCTCCCTCGTTGGCTGATTTAGTGAAAGATACTAAATAGTAACTGAAACACTGCTTCACAGAAAAGAATTGGAACAATCCAATTCGTCACATTCCAATATTTGGATAGTGATCCATTGACTCACCATTTGGCGTTTATTAATGGCAGTAACCTTCCTTCATTTTCGTGTTTGTTGCCAAAACACAACTATAAATAGTCTGTAGATTGGCTATCTTTGTAGAAACACAGCAAAGATAACAAACACAACACACATTAAATGCAGCAATGCTCGAAATCTCTCTATCCCTTTTCTTCTTTATCTTCTTCTCCTCCCAATTCTCCGTTCTCAAACAAACACACCCAATTCTATTCTACATTCGTCTTCGTCGTACACCCTCCACATTATTGAAATAAGGATGGTCCAGTGCTTGCTGGCAATCGATTCTTCGCTCTGGATCATACGTCAAAAAACGCTATCATCAACTCCTCTCCCCATCTCTACGCTCAACAAATCCAACGCATTGCTATCCATTCGAGGCACCAACTCGCTCAGCGGACGCGGTTTATACACATTCTGCATCGAGGCATTCCACTCCGGATATGTATTCAACTTCGGCATGTTTGCTAAATTGGGGGATCCCAACTTCTTAAAAATCACTTCTCTCTCATCACTCTCGTTCTGTCCGGGGAAGAGAGGCGTGCTATTATACAGCTCTATGCGTCATCTGCACAATGCACATCCAACCAGCGAAGATGCACCCGCAGCTCCACATGTCCACGCTGGTGTTGTAGTCGCGGTTTCCGAGCAGAATATCGGGGGAACGGTACCAGAGAGTCACGACTTCGCTGGTGTATCTACGTAGAACTTCGATCGAAGCCTCACTTTTTCACAGGAATTCCAGAGGCACGAGCCAAACCGAAATCGCCCAGTTTTAACTCACCGTCACGATTGATAAGGAGGTTCTGAGGTTTGAGATCTCTGAAAATCAAAAGGGAAGGCGAAAAGAAACCGATGAAGAATGCGATAGCGATGACACTCTTGCAATCCCAGGAGCATTTGGTACATGAATGACTGCTGTGAAAGACATGAGTAGAACGTACTTTAATGACAGGAGGTTCAAGTACCGGTTCTCGATCCAGATATTTACGCAAGTCCTGGTCCAAGTATTCAAAAACCATTGTGAGACAGTTTTCTGTGTGAATTACATCATAAAGTCTAACGATCACCCCACTCCATAGCAACACACCTCACAATGTTGGGATGATGAAGTTCCTTGAGCAATGCAATTTCACGAATGGCCGTACTCGGAATGCCCTCCTCACGCGAATTGAGCCGAATCTTCTTCAACGCTACAATTTCACCTATCCATTATTGTGTATAAACAAATTGCAAACCGGTGACAGTGTCTCTCGCCTGGTATACAACTCCGTAAGTACCTAGTCGATATTCCCTGCAATGTACCACATACCCTCACCAACCTTATTCAGCTCCTCGTAACGTTGCATATAAGAGTTAAAACTCAAAGAATGTCTGAAAAGGCTGGAATCATGGAATTCCAGAATCACGGAGAATTTTCTAACTTCCATTGTTTTGTATTGAGTTGAACCAAACCCATAGAGAGGAGATGAGAATCAATATAAAATTCGATGAAAGGACTATGTACGTGGAGTGAGAGCGTTCCGTATACACTCTCCCCTTTCAACCGTTTTTGGAATAGTAGCTGGATTCGTTTAATGACCTTCAATCATATATATTAGGCTTTTGCATCCAGATTGTTTTTTTCAACACTTAGTCGTAACTCTCTTCGTAGAAAAGTGTTCACTCATTTATAATTCATTCCATCAGTACGATTCTTTTCTTTCATTGTCCTTCCCTTTACAAACTAGGCAACTTCCCTTCTAAATTCATCCTCCATTCTATTTCATCATCTCCTTTTTTTCACAACAATTCCATCACACCTCGCCCATTTCACTTTCAGTAAACACTTTTGCAATTTAATCTTTTAACTCCTCTCCCTCTTCTCCTTCCATTTCCACCCCTAAACCTACCGTATTCGCATTGTTTCAAGTGAGGATCATGTGTTACAGAGGTCCATACAAAGTGCATTTCTTCTTCCTGTTTCATATTCCACACCCAAATTTCGAAACACTGCGCTTTCACTATTTTTTTTGTGGTCTATCCTAAAAGTGTTTTATTTCGTGTACCTTTTCTATGGAAAGAAGACTACGTCTGCTGGATCATGTCTACCGAAGAAATGTATAATGTTTGCAACTCTCCTCTCTCCTAGGATCCAAAACGCATTGAGGGAAGGATCATATCTGCCGAAGAAGACGGAGGCGATGAAATGAAGTATATCGTTTTCTTTCCTGGAGAAGTGAATTACTATTACTATTTTGAATCCGAACTCTGTCTTTGTAGTGACACTGTTGACACTATATTTCCTAAAGGTGTGCTGTGTGGTTTCTATTGCATCTAGACCTATTCCTCCATCATCCCTTTCAGCAAGGTGAGCTATCGCATGAACAGATTCAATACATGCTCGATGTGTGAATTCGAACAAAACCTCACGCATAGAACGAACTTGACAATGCGACCAGTCGTCGCTCGCTGTGGTACGACCTCCTCTTCTACAAGCCGCAGACCCTGCCCAAGCAGTCGAAGAGCCTCTCAGGCTCGCGCGCGAGCGTGGATCCCACGGTGCTGCGCCTGCTGCAATACCCGATTCCCGAAGAAATTCGGTGCTTTTTGTGGTCTGAGTTTCTGAGTGTGCGAGACAGCTACGTGATCGGGTATTACTCGATCATTCGCAACAAACAATATGGAATCCCAGCGAATTCGCTGTCGGTGATCGAGGCGGATTTGCGCCGCATGGAGATCTCCAGTGCGGAACATCGACAGATGCTGCGACTCCTCGTCGATTCTAGATGTGATTTGATGACCGATAGACTTCGATTTATCTCCACGATTCCCAGATGGGATATGTGCAGGGCATGCATTTCTTCGCGTACATTCTTCTCAAGATTTTCTCGGAGGAAGAAGCGTTCTTCGTTTTTATCCGCGTAGCACACTTCGAGATAGATTGAGACGCAGGTCGTCGAGTTTTTACCACCCAAATACTATGACTTTTTTCTCGAAGGCATCAACACAGATCTCCTTTCTATCGCAGCTCTTTTAAATAAACTCGATCCCATCCTCTATTCCAGCATGGAGCAGAAAACAGGAAACATGATCTTTTTCTTGTCACCCGTTTATAAATGGCTGGTGGACTTGTTCTCTCACCCCTTTATTCCTTCGTTTTCGTACTCCCTTCTCGACCTCCTCTTCTGTTTCGGCAATTGGTCGTTGGTGATCGCTCCGTTGGCCATCATTCTGGAAAAGAGAAGAGAATTTCTGCTGTCTTCGAACATGGAGGAGATTACGAATATTTTTTTGCAAATTGCCTCAAAAATGAGGAGGGAAAATATTCCCGTGGTTATTAACTCGATTTATGAGTTATGTCTTTTGACTGATATGTACCACTTCCGAACGAGTATTACGCGTAGAAATGGGATCAACGAACTGCGAGAAGGGTTGCGAAAAGATTCCAGTTTGGGTCAGCGTCGATCTTCCGATGGAACGGAAGTGGACGAGCAAAACGGAGTTGTTGCCGATCTCTGCAAAGTGGACAACGCCTACCATACGTCAGACCCATTTTCGCCTGTCAGTGAAGTCGATTCTACTTCGACGGACACTCTCCGCAACAATGCGGATATGGGTCTTTCCATGCAGCTCTCGATGCATATGCGTCGGATAAGCTCTTCCTTTAAGCGAGTGAACGGCGTCATGGACAATGACTCGGTGGCTTCCGGCAAGAATCGTTCTCTGCGAAACTCATTGGAAGTGATCCAGAGCGATCGGGTTCCTTCTTTTAACGATTTCTCGGACAGCAACGAGGAAGAAGAAGTGGATTTCAACCCGTGGAGAGATTCGATCATGGAAGATGAGTCGATGTCGTTCGACAACCTGCTGGTAGGAATGGACACGAAGGGCAGTCGCGATCTGACGTCTGTCGTGGTGGCGAACTCGGCGAATGAGACGTCCAGCGATGTTCCTTCGCATGTGGCAGTTCAGAATCCGTTGAAATGGAATCAGTCCAATGCTCTGTTTCGAAAGGTGTTTAAATTGTATGATGACATCCGAAATCAAAGACAGTATAATGTAAAGAGTTTAGCGAGCGAGAGTGTTGTAGATTTGCTTTCCTGGGGGTTACTGGTAGGGAAATGGCCGCTTTCTGTTAGAAAAGGAAATTCGAATCAATCCAGAGTATTTAGATCAGTATTTGATTGTTTGTTTCGATTCTTTTCTGTCGTGTATCAGAATTATTCGGTTCCGCGGGGAAATATAGAGAAACTCAGATTAATATTTTATCCACTTTGACATGGTAAAGAATGACCCCATCAAGTGTGTTATTGTCGGGTACAACGTGCCATTGTTTCCTGATTTTTTCTAGGGATGGAGCTGTAGGTAAGACCAGCATGCTCATTTCTTATGGGTCTGATGAGTTCCCAGTAGAATATGTGCCAACAAGTATGAAACTATTAACATTTTAAGTGACATTCTAGTTGTAGATAATTATAGTGCAGAACTTCAAATAAATGGAAAAACCCAGATACTAGAATTATGGGATACTGCTGGTCAGCACGTTTTTTCTATTTTTTGAGAGATAGGCCAAGAAGAATACGATCAGCTTCGCACTCTATCCTATCCTGAAACAAATATATTTATAATATGCTACTCTATTGTGGAGTATTGATTTTTTTTCAAATTCACAGCTAGTCGTAGTTCCTTCGAAAATGTTACGAAAGTCGCTTCTCTCGTCTCTTTCTCATATTTAGTGGTACCGAGAACTGCAGTGTTATTGGAAAGACGAGTCCTGCCCGGTGCCTGTAATGTTGGTAGGGAACAAAACGGATCTCAAATCAGATCCTTTTGTGCTGCGAAAGCTTTCGCAGAGACATGAAAGTGTCGTGACTCTAAAGGATGTTTTCTTTATTGTTCTGCGCTCACATGCTAGTCAGAAGTCATGGCAAAGGAGATTGGTGCATTAGCAACTGTGCAATGTAGTGCAAAAACGCGAGATAATTTGAAGACTGTATTTGATATAGCTGTGAATGTATTGATTTGCGCTCCTTGCGATGTAGTGTGCGTTGGAATTAAGGTGCTCTCAAGAGAAAGGTTGTACTATTCTTTGATCTGTGTTGTTGACGTTTTTATTCCTGGATGTATCTTTTTATGTTCGAATTATGTGATTTCGTGTTTGTTTGATACTTCCGCGGTTCTTTTCTCGTTTTGCCTATGGAATTGCTTCCCCAATTGGGTTCTCCGATTTCTCTTTGAAAGACTATTTCCAGGGCAAATTGAATTTGGATCATGAGTGCAGACGATACGCAGAGACGAATCAAGCAGATGTGCGATTTTATTAAGCAGGAAGCACAAGAAAAGGCAAACGAAATCAAGATCAAGACGCAGGAGGAATTTGAGCTGGATCGTCAGATGCTGACTCAGGAGGGAAAAATGCGTGTTCAGGAAGAGTACGCCAAGAAGGAAAAGGACTTGCAGGTCCAACAAAGAATTGCGCAGTCTGCTGAAATTGGAAGACAGACCAAACGACGTATGGTGGCTAGAGACGATCTTCTGAATAAATTGTATCAACTTGCCAGAGAGCGTCTTGCTCAATTGTCTGAGAAGGACGTGGATAAGTACGTGGAGGTGCTGAAGGATCTGATTCTCCAAGGACTTATCAAAATCGAAGAGCCCGATATTGTGGTTCGTTGCCGCAAGGTAGATCTGGATTTGGTGCGTCGTATTATCCCTGAGGTGCAGAATAAGTATGTTCAGATGATGAAGGACGAGTGTGGAGTGGATGTTGTAGTCAATGTGACTCTGAACGAAGATGAAAGCAAGATGTTGCCTCCTCCTCCGAGCAACTCTCCCATGCTTTCTTGCGCTGGAGGTATCGTGATGGAAGGTCACAGCGGTCGCCTGGTTCTGGACAATACGTTTGACAAGAGACTTGAGGTCTGTTTCCATGATTTGAAGCCTGTGACTCGGAAATGTTTGTTCCCTTCTTGTTAATGATTATTTTTAAAGCAGGTTTGTTGGAATCATACTTGTTTTTACACGTGGACGATGAGCACTTCTAGCCAGTTGAGTTCGATCAAGAATCTGATTTCGGATGTATCAAGAATTGTATCGTTAGGAGAAAGGTGTAATTCGGTAGGAGGAGAATACATCGAAGATTCTTGATATCCTGAATCGTACATCCGATTCTAGTATACCAAGCATGGTTAGTCAGCTAGATGATGAAGAAAAGCCAAGATTGTTGAAAAGCATATATATTGGACTTGCAAATCCTGAAAATAATGGAAAGCTCTTGAAGTGGTTCAATGAAATTAGCGAATCCTCAAACATTGGTGTTGTTGTCAAGGCAGTGAATTCTCTCTAAACGGTTTTGTACATTGTTTAGTGATATGTTTGTTGTTTGTAGGAAATAAGGTTTTGGGTGGATATGGTGATTCTTTTCAAGATGTATCAGTATCTCTAATTCACTCAGAAATGTTTGAATATACGAGTTGCTAGTATATGCGATTATTTGGCATGCCCAATTGATTTTGTAGTTTCACAGGAAATAGGATTTTTGTTTTTTTGGTGTTTGCGCTTTATTCAGCATTTCTTTCTCTGTTACCTCCTACGGAGTCGATTACGTTTTCAAGAGCGACCACCCCAAAGCCAAAGTGGGTTCGTTCTTCTTAGTGAGCGTGTGAATCGCAGGTCTCTCGATGGTGATCGCGACAGGAACGATGTCTGGCTGTGGCGGCGACGTTTTGCTCCGCTACTACAACCTAATCAATGAAGACTTCACCGTTCCTCGTCGTATGTCGTAGGAGCTTGCTCGCTTTGCTCAGCAGAGTCACCGACGATAACATCGAAACGCATTCACAGAAGCTTCCGCAAGACTTAATCCGTCCCACCTTATTAGTTTGTTGATTTTGAATGGACCCAAAGCGAAGTGAAGCGAGCCTTCTTCGCTACTCTGCTCTATATTTACTTACTCGATCCGCTGCAATTCATTCGCGGTGGAGCCTTGTTCGATGATGTGCGATTGCTTCCACCCTGCTGATGTAGGCGGTCTGTCGAGTTATTACTTTCCAATTCGTTCTGGTTACGACGTTGTTGAAATTCTTGGGATGGGTACGGAATGGAATGGAATGGAATGTGAAGCGTAGAATGTGTTTGAGAGCGTTTCTTCGTTGTTCCCTGCAATCACCAGAGTGCCCAAGGAGATCCCTGCATTTGCCAGGAGATGGAGTTTTGAGGATATTAATGAGAAATCGAAGGATTTGTAACATGTTGAGTTTGTTTTTCTTTAAAACATAATTTTCTTTTTGGATGAAGCATTCTGCAACACTTGTTTTGACTCTTTTGCTTTGTGTTGTTTTTGGAATCGATTCTGCAGACTGTGAGCAAAAGGGCTTTTCTCCTTCTCTTCTATGTTCTTCTTGTGATAAATTGTCTGCATTCGTCGGAGACTCTACAGGTGCAATTTTGATTATTTGATTCAGTACAGAATTGGTGAATGAGTGCAGAGCGTGCTGCACAGATGATTCAATAGAACAGATCGTAATAACAAGATGGTGTAGAGCTAAGGAGTAGAAAAAAGTGGAGAGTGCGAAGCTGAGTATTCATCCCTTTAGTATTGGTGCTTATCCGGAAATCAGAGAGTTTATTGAGAAATACTCGAAGCGATATACCAATTTGAGCATCAATGTGAGTTCGATTTTGTTGCTTGAATTTAGAAACGCGCAAATGTTCCTTCTCCACGTCTACAAATAGTCTATGAAAATAAAAAGATTGATGTCGTTGAGTAAATGTGTTATTGTGTTGCTGATGTAGTTTGAGTGGTTGGAAACAGCAGCAACTTCTCGATTTCTGTGATTCCATTTTGTCTAGGGTAGAATAGTTTGTAAAGCATTGTTTGATGGAAACGCAAACACGAATTGGTTGGGTCGTGTTGAATCTGTTTGTAGAAAGAAGACCAAAGGGTAATGGTGCTAACATGCTTGTGCTATTATGGTACACAGGACACTATTTACGAATATCATTATACATATGATCAACTCACTATAACAAACACCATCTCTTGATCAATCCATTAGCATCCACTGTGTTATAGGCGTGCTTTGATATAATGCACACTGCGATGATTACTGGAATTCACTGTTCAACGTGATTCAATAGGATTAGCACACAGTAATAAAATCAGTATAACAGAAATAGGAGTTTGAAGAATGGCTGTATTTGAAAGTGATGTTTCTACAGACAAACAATGCGATTCGGAGTAAGTCATAGTTGCGGAGTGAAAAATAGAGAACTCAATCGATCCACATGTTTTTGTTCATATGATAGCTTGAAATCAAGTACCTAGGTGATGAAAAGAAATCTTTGGGGTATAGTGCGAAAACAAGTAATACAGATAGGATATTATTTGGTTATAAGATAATTGTAAAATGGAGCCAACTAATTAGTGAAACAAACAAAATAAACGATTGACAATCGAAATAATCTACAGAACAATCTCTTATTTTATGTAAGAAAAAATATATAAATATAGTATTCTAAGGTCAAAGGCAAGAAAGAAAACAAAATACTCAAAACACGTCTGGATAACATCAAAAAGAGTCATCATTATGGGATTTATACACAAATAACAAAAGGTTATAACGCAATAACAACAATAAGCAGCAGCTACAATAAAAAGTTGGTAAAAACAGTGAATTATTCATTTTTTCTCTATTTCGATGCAAAAGTTTGCTGATTTTGTCAATTTAGCTACCAGGAACTATTATATCGATAGTTCCATTATTCAAAATGTGCAGGGATGCTTGAATGAGGAAATGAAACCAAATGGCTGGATTTCACTCATTTTGAGTAATAAAGAATGCGTAGTATTGCAATTCGATAATGGAATATTCATGAATCAAGGATTTGTCCTCAATGAGCAGAAAGTGTTGAAAGTGTTTGGAAATAATCGAATTGGTGCTATTTCATATAATGAAGAACAAGCCATAGAAGCAGTGGAAGGAATCGTGGATTTGGATCATGGAAGTCGATTTGAAGGCTTGATATTGACAGAAAACAAGTTTGGAATTCCATTTGGATATGGTGAAATGTATGATGATGATGGATTCTTGGTGTACAAGGGCGTAGTGATCAATTGGAAACGATTTGGATATGGAACGAGCTATCATAATAATGGTTTGATAGAATATGAAGGATATTGGTGTGATGATAATCGATTTGGAATTGGAAAAGTGTATGATCGATCAGGCAAATTAATGAAAGAATGTGAATGGTATAACGGAATTGAATGTGATACTGAGTATGAAGGAAATGGTTCAGAACCATTGAATATCGGAATGACACAATTGAATCTGAGTGACAATTGTGTATTGGTTGATTGGGATGTTTCATTGTTGTATAATTTGGAATCAATCGAAATCGGCGATGAATGTTTTGAATCAGTGAAAACATTCAAAATCGATGGATTGAATCGATTGAAAACTATCAAAATCGGGAGCAATTCATTTACTCAGAAAAAGAATTGGCATGGAAATGATAAATCGAAATCATTCCACATATTGAATTGTGAATCATTGGAATCGATTCAAATTGGTGAATACAGTTTCAGTGATTTTGGAGGCGACTTTGAATTGAAGAATCTACCACAATTACAATCCATTCAAATTGGGACAATTGGAAGTCAATCATACAATTTCTATTATAGTTCATTTGTGATTCGAGGTATTGATATGATATTGTATATTTGAATGATGCATAGATCTTCCAAGTCTACAATCTTTTACATTTGGAGACTTTTCGTTTTGTAATTCTTTATCAACAATAATTGAGAGTATTGAACGAATTCGAATGAAATGATTGATGTAGATCTTCCATCATTACAACTTATTAAAATGGGTGAGTGGACATTTCGAGGGAATGGCGATGATGATTCATGTTCTTTGACAATGCGAAGTATAATTGATTTGATTCTCTATTACAAAATGTAGATCTTCCAATTCTATCATCCATCTCATCCATTGGAGGTAGTTTCAAATATCCTCGGGTTGCAGCATTAGAAAGTATTGTCTGGTCTTGAATATTGATAGTATTCAGATATTCCAAATCTTCATAATGTCAACCTACCGGATTCATTTAATCATTTACTATATCCATATATAATAGGTTTTTAATGTATTCAAATATCACACATTAGATGTTGATAATCGATTTGGTCCAACAATATATACCAACTATTATATTCAATCAATAGACTCCTGTGTTGAGTCTGTTGTTATTCCCAATTGGACTTGTAATGATAAAGATTACACAATTCTTGATTTCTCTCGATTTACATTTGCGAAATCTATCGAAATTGGCGATGACTGTTTTGTATCCGTGAAGACTTTCAAAGTCGATGGATTAAATCGATTGAAATCTTTAAAAATCGGAAAGAATTCATTCACCAAAGTGAAACAAGTAACCTGGAAAAGAAACTGGGATAAGGCATACATTAATGCAAATGATAAATCGAAATCATTCCACATATTGAACTGTGAATCATTGGAATCGATTCAAATTGATCAATACAGTTTCAGTGATTTTGGAGGCGACTTTGAACTGAAGAATCTGCCACAATTACAATCCATTCAAATTGGGACAATCGGGGTTTATTCATACAACTTCTGTTATAGTTCATTTGTGATTCGAGGTATTGATATGATATTGCATATATGGGTAATGCATAGATCTTCCAAATTTGAAATCCATTTCTTTAGGGGATGCAGTTTTTCATGATTCCTTATCAACAGTGATTGAAAGTATGGAATGAATTTGAAAGAGATGATTGATGTAGATCTTCCATCATTACAATGTATTCGACTCGGTTATTACTCCATTTGGGGTAAATGGACTTCTCAAACATGTTTGTTGGTAATGCGAAGTAACAAATAATGAATTAAAGGACTGATTGTAGAATTACCTAATTTGGAATTCATCAATTCTGAAGGACGAAGCTTCGAGTATATTCGTATTGTGAAATTGAAAGGTAGATTTCAATATTGAATCCTGATAGTATTTAGATATTCCAAATGTTCAAAATGTCAAACTACCCTATTCTTTTGAGAATATTCAATCGAAAGCAATTTCGAGTAAATATATATTTCACTGTTTAGAATAATATTATGTGTAGATGTTTCTAGTTCATTAAAAAGAGTTTTTAGAATTAGGAATATTCGCAATTAATAAAGTTTCTTTCACTTTTTCTATAATTACTGTTTATTTTTACCAATGGCTATTAATAGAAGTATTAATTACTATTTAAGGCTGTGCTTTACGTTGGTACTATTCAGTTATGTAGTAAGTATAAGCATATTTTGTTTTTCAAGAGTATAACAGAATTTTATACACATTAAGTT